AATTCCAATCAAAATACCAAGACATTCTTCTCAGATCTGGAAAAAAATGATGCTAAAATTCATATGGAGACACAGGAGACCTCTAATAGCTAAAGCAATCTTGTACAACAAAAACAAAGCCAGAGGCATCACAATACCAGATTTCAGGACATACTACAGGGCAGTTGTTACCAAAACAACATGGTACTGGTACAGAAACAGATGGATAGACCAATGGAACAGAATAGAAACACCAGAAATCAACCCAAACATCTACAGCCAACTTTTATTTGATCAAGGATCTAAAACCAATTCCTGGAGCAAGGACAGTCTATTCAACAAATGGTGCTGGGAACACTGGATTTCCTCATGCAGAAGCATAAAGCAAGACCCCTACCTTTCACCTTACACAAAAATCCACTCAGAATGGATTAAAGACCTAAATCTACAACCCGACACCATCAAGTTATTAGAGAACATCGGAGAAACCCTACAAGATACAGGCACAGGCAAAGACTTCTTGGAAAAGATCCTGGAGGTACAGGTAGTCAAAGCCAAAATTAACAATTGGGATTACATCAAATTGAAAAGTTTCTGTACTGCAAAAGAAATAGTCAGGAAAGTGAAGAGGCAACCGACAGAATGGGAAAAAATATTTGCAAACTATGCAACCAATAAAGGATTAATAACCAGAATCTACAAAGAGATCAAGAAACTCCACAACAACAAAACAAACAACCCACTTAAGAGATGGGCCAAGGACCTTAATAGACATTTTTCAAAAGACGAAATCCAAATGGCCAACAGACACATGCAAAAATGTTCAGGATCACCTGCCATCAGGGAAATGCAAATAAAAACCACAGTGATGTTTCTTCTCACCCCAGTTAGAATGCATTAAATACAGAAATCTACCAACAACAGATGCCCGTGAGGATGTGGGGAAAAGGGACACTAATCCACTATTGGTGGGAATGAAAACTGGCAAAGCCACTATGAAAGTCAGTTTGGAGAATCCTCAGAAACCTGAATATAACCCTACCATACAACCCAGCCATCCCACTCCTTGGAATTTACCCAAAGGAAATGAAATTGGCAAACAAACAAGCTGTCTGCACATTAATGCTTATTGCAGGTCAATTCACAATAGCTAAGACCTGGAACCAATCCAAATGCCCATCAACAGTAGACTGGATAAAGAAATTATGGGACATGTACTCTATAGAATACTACGCAGCAGTAAAAAAATGAAATCTGGTCATTTGCCACAAAACGGAGGAATCTGGAAAACATCATGCTGAGTGAAATAAGCCAGTCCCAAAGGGACAAATATCATATGTTCTCCCTGATCAGTGACAACTAACTGAGCACCTAAAAGGAAAGCTGTTGAAGTGAAATGGACACTGTGAGAAACAATGACTTGATCAGCCCTTGTCCTGTCAAGGAACAACTTCCTACTTTATTCCTTGTAGTATTTTTTTGTTATACTTAATACCATTGTGTTGAACTCTTTAATTAACACACAATTATTATTTGGTGTTTAAATTTGACTTAAAAGTGGGAATAAGAGTGTGAATAAGAGAGGGAGGAGATGTACAGTTCAGCACATGCTCAATTGGACTTACCCCTAATGGTAGAGTTAGAAACGTGCCAAGGGATTCCAATTCAATCCCATCAAGGTGGTATGTTCCAATGTCATCTCACTAGTCAAAGTGATCAGTTTCAGTTCATAATTGATCATAATGATAGGATTTAGAGTCAAAGGGATAACATAAACAAGACTAGTGTCTGCCAATACTAACGGATAGAATTAAAAAGGAGAAAACAATCCAACATGGGAAGCGAGATACACAGGAGGCTCATTGAATGGCAGATGTCCTAAACAGTGCTCTGGCCTCAGAATCAGCCCTTATGGCATTCAGATCTGGCTAAAAAGCCCATGAGAGTATTTCAAGCATGGAAAACCAAGACACTGTGACAAAAAAATGACCTAAATGAAAGATCTCTGTGAGTGAGATCCAAGCAGAAAGAATGGGCTATCAAAGAAGGAGGCACCTTTCTCTGAAGGGAGGAGAGAACTTCCACTTTTGACGATGGCTTTATCTAAATAAGATCGGAGTTGGCGAACTCAAGAGGCTTCCATAGCCTTGGCAGCTCATGACAAGAGCCTTGGGTGATTACTGACGTCATAAATAAAAGTGTCAATTGTTAAATCCACAACAGGAGTCACTGTGCACTTACTCCTCATGTAGGATCTCTGTCCTTAATGTGTTGTACTATGTGAATTAACAGTATAATTAGTGCCCAAGCAGTACTTTATACTTTGTGTTTCTGTGTGGGTGCAAACCGTTGAAATCTTTACTTAGTATATACTACATTGATCTTTTGTATATAAAGATAATTAAAAATGAATCTTGATGTGAATGGGATGGGAGAGGGAGTGGGAGATGGGATGGTTGCGGGTGGGAGGGAGGTTATGGGGGGAAAAAAGCCACTATAAGAAGAAAAATTTAAGAGTTCATATTTTATTTTTACCTTTTTATGGATTTTATATGCTATGTGTTAGTTAAGTGCTTCCCACCTGTGTTATTTAGGGTTATAATTCTGTAACTTTTCCCCCTTGTACTTGTTAGGTTTTGATATCAAGGTTATGGTGGTCTTTTAAAATGAGTGGAATAGCATTTAATCCTTCTTTATTTTTGAAAGAATATACTATTGTGCTACAATTTCTTCTTTAAATGTTGGGTGAAATTCATCAGTGAAGCTATTGAGGTATTTAGTTACCTCTGAGGAATGTTTTAAAAAGGAGTTTAATTTCTTAAATACATATGTATTAATGCATGTCTTTTCCTTTTTGTATCACTTTCCTGAACTTGTATTTTTGAGGAAATATGTGAATTTTATATTAGTTTCCAAAATTATTGGCATAAAATTATTAAACAGCCTTTAAAAACATTAAAAATAAAACTGCTTTATGATCCAGCAATCTAACTACTGAGTATGTCTAAAGGAAATGAAAAGATTATAGTGAATAGACACCATAATTGCATTCAACATGCATTCAGTGTTTATTGAAGCACTATTCACAATAGCAAATATACAGAACGACCTAAGTATATATCAGCAGTTAATGGATAAAGAAAATGTAGCATACACATTGGTATATTATGTACATTGTGTATTATGTACAACCACAGAAAAGGTTGAAATCCTATCATTTGAAAAAAAACATGTACGAACCTAGAGGACACTGTGTTAAGTGAAATAAACTAGGCACAGAAAGGCAAATTTCACATGATCACATGGAATCTAAATAAGTTGCTTTCATAGAAGTTGAGAGTAGAACAATGATTACCAGAATGTAGGGAGGGGAGATGGTGGGAGGAATGTGAAGAGCTTAAAGAGTACAGTGTGATGGGGCCAGCATTGTTATGTTACGAGTTAAGCCACTGTCTGTGATGCTGGCATCTCATGTGGGCACTGGTTCGAGTCCTGACTATTCCACTTCTGATCCAGACCACTTTTAATGTGCAATGGAAGATGACCGAACTGCTTGGGCCCTTGTACTCATGCTGGAGACCCAGAAGATCCTGACTCCTGGCTTCAGCCTGGCCCAGCCTTGCCCATTGTGGCCATCTGGGGAGTGAACTAGTGGAAGAAATCTCTCTCTCTCTCTTTCTGTGTCTGTCTCTGCCTCTCTCTTTGTAACTCTGCCTTTCAAAGAAATAAATAATTTTTAAAGTACAGTGTTATAATTAGAAGGAATAGATTCTGCTGTTCTATTGCATAGTAGGTTGACTATATTTAACAATAATATATACTTGGAAATACCTAGAAAAGGAATTTTAATGTTCTCACTACAAAGAAAAGATGTTTGAAGTGATTGCTATGCTAATTACTCTAATTTGATTATGTCAGAATATATATATATATGTGTGTGTGTATATATATATGTATATATGGGGTACATCACATTGTATCCCATAAACATCAATCAAAATAAAGAGAAAAAAGGTAATAATATTAAACTTGGCATTTTTACTCAGAGTGTTTGGCTGTTAAAAGGGGCTTACTAAGTGTACATATATTGTTTCATTTAGTCTTCATAACCACGCCAAGAGTTAGCCACCTATATTGTAACACTTTTACAGATGAGGAAATGAAGCATAGAGGCTTTACTTGCTTGCCTTTAATACAAGGTTGAATGATAGTGTAAAGTTATTTATCTATTTATTTCTGTTTGGAAGGCAGAGAGGGAGGAAGGAAGAGAGACAGAATCTCCCATCTGCGGGTTCACTCCCTAAACACCTTCAACAACCAGAGATGGGTCAGGTAGAAGCCAGGAGCCTGGAACTTAATCATGCTTTCCTACGTGGGTGCCATAGACCCAAGTACTTGAGCCATCATCTGCTACCTTCAAGAGTGCACATTAACAGAAAGGTGGAATTGGAAGCAGAACCAGGATTGAAACCCAGGCATTCTGATAAGGGATGGGAGCATCCCAAGCGGTGTCTTAACTGTTGCACCAAACGCCCACCCCCGATTCATCATTTTCATCCAGTTTACCAGCTGGTGATTCTGGAACCCAAATATATAAATGCCATATGTACTCATCTTGTTTATCCATTCATTGACAGATACTTGTGTTGTTTCTATTTCTTGGCTATTGTGAATAGTTTTTATGAACAAGGGTGGGAAAATATCGTTAGACTCTGTTTTTTTTTTCTGTATATACATCTAGAAATAAGATTGCTGGATATTATGTTCATTCTACTTTTAATTTTTTGAGGAGCCACCGTACTGTTTTCCATAGGGTCTGCATTATCGCTTCATTCCCACCAATGTTGCTAAAATAGACCTCACATTTTCAACTTTGCCTTCTTTTCATTGGCTTTTAAAAAGTTGAACTTAAAAAGTTCTCGCTGTACAACTAAACACAAGTTGGAAATTTCCTCACTTTTATGTTGCAACCTTATTTTTGTGGTTACTTCACATCATCGGTAACTTTTTTTCAAACTTACCCGAACAGTGAGGGAGGTGCCCATAACATTAGTAGTGTTGATGGAGAATTGAACCAGACCTTGCTCATCAGTAGTAGCAGCGGAATTATAGTTAGCTTCATTTGCTCTGATGGAGATGGTTTTATTCGGCATAGGGATGCCTTTCCCATCTACAAGGAGCACCTAAAGATTAAAAATTGTGAATCAGTTATCAGTTAGGAGGCACTATACATACTCATTTTATCACCTATATAAATGCCTGACATATGTTGAAAAATTTTAATCCATTTGCACTTACATGAACCCCAAACACTAGTTTTGTTATTAAATTTTTATAGATTTATTTTCTGAAGTATCTTAAGTGTAGAAGTAAGCAATTGTTAATACATTGTCCTGTGTGCTTCTCCAGTTGTTTTATATATGGTGCCTGCTTCTCAATCTGTAGCTTCAAAGGTAGGCAGAGTTAATGATGAATTTCCCACATGAAAATTTAAAATTGAGACGAGGCTAATAGTATTAAATAAGGTTGTAAAGCCACATTACTGCTGATATTGAACTCCACAGATAAGTAGTCCAGTTCAGATTGTAAAGATGGGGATTAATTTTCATTGTAAACTACTTTTGACAACGGGAGTACAATAGAATGACTTGACTTGGTATTTGTAACTGAATTACATAATTCAACTTGCTAGTGAGATTATGGGCTGCACGTACAAAGACAAGAATATGCACATAATTTTGGTCCTTTCTCTTCTAGTGAGAGAGGTTCGTGACCAATAGCATAGTTATTTAGTAGCTAGAAAACACTGAAAAGTACAATACTGGGGCCAGGCTTTTGGCACAGAGGGTTAAGCCACCACTTGCCACACCCACATGCCATTATAGAATGCCCCCTTGGAATCCTGTCTGCTCTGCTTCTGATCCTGCTTCCTGCTAATCTGCCTGGGAAAGAAGCAGATGATGGCCTAGGTGCTAGGGTCCCTGTCACCCAAATGGGAGAGCTCGATGGAGTTCCTGACTCTGGAGTTGGCCTGGCCCAGCCTTGAGTGTTGTGGGCATTTAGGGAGTGAACAAGCAGATGGAAGATCTTTCTGCCTCTCCCTCTCTGTCACCCTGCCTTTCAAATAAATGAATATATCTTTGAAAAAGTACTATAGGTCTCTGAGAAACTTAAAATTAGACTACCCTTTCATTTTAGGAAGTTTCATTTAAGCCAAAATTTTTGAATATTTTTTGCTATCATAGCATAACCAAACCTAGAAAATACTTCACTTTGTTGAATCTAGTTCCCTGTTTTTCCCACTCTACAGCTGAAATACTATAGCATTTCATTTGAGAAAAAAAATACTGGCGATTACACACCGAGTTCTGTCATCTCAGACTCCTGGAGTCAGAAAGATCAGTGTGCATGACTGCTTACAACAAAAAAATCATAGTAGAAGAATTTTTGGTAGATGTATGATAAATTCATAATTTTGAAATCTGAGAACTTGCTATCACATTTTGCTGCTGTGTTTACTGCCTTTCAAAAATATATTGGTTATTACAGAAGGTGAATGTAAGTGCAATATCCATTGTGGATTTAAGAGTGGAATGTTGTCCCCAGAGACTGAATTCAATGAGAACTCACCAACAGTGAGTTTCTCAGATTCCGCCTGTCTTTCAGCAAACTCTGACCCAGGAAACATCTGCAGTCTGTTAAGAAGGAGTAAACTTTGTGTCTCGGTGCCATTATAGAAAAAGATGCTTAAAGACCTGTCCTTCCATGTCTGAATGATTTAACAATCCCATTGTTTGCCTCTCCCTGCAAAGGAGTAGCATTGCAGTGTGGGAACCTCGTGTACCCCTTTAATCAATAGCCAAATGTGTAACCATTGCCAGACATCCTTCTTCAATTTTTAATGTGGTTGAGAATTGTGATATAATTTTGTTTAAATATGACTTAACGTACATACCCATGATATAAGAAAAAGTATGCTACTTTTAACCAAACAAAAGCTTACAGCAGTCTGCCTTGTCCCAAGCTTAAGTTTTTACTTTGACTTCTGAATGAACTCCAACTTTGATTCTCCAACCAGCCCAACATTATTTCAGGTGACACCATGGAAGAAAAACTAGATTTAGTAAAATCTTTAACACTTCAAAATAAAAATTAATATCATCTACCTACGCATTTTCCTACATGTCAATGTTAGAAGCATAATGTAACTGGACATAATTAATGGTGAGATTCTTGTGAGAAAATGATATAAAAATATGAGACTCTCTGATACATCTTGAAGAGGAGATGGAATGACATAATGCAATGTTCTAAAAATGAAAAAGAAAATCTACAAATTTTGATACAACTTTTTTTAAAAAACAATTTTTCTGCCCTAATTTTTATTTATCTTTATTCCTTTGAAAGGAAGAGGGAGAGACAAAGAAGCTGGTTCACTCCTTAAATCCTCACAATAGCTAAGGTTGTATCAGGCCAAAACCAGGAGCCTGGAGCTCAATCTGCATTTCCCATGCGGGAGGCAGGGATTTAAGTACTGCTTCTCAGGGTGTGCATTACCAGGAAGCTAGAATGGAGACTGCTGCCAGATTCAAGTCCAGGTACTTCAAGATAGGATGCTGGCATCATCCTTAGCAGTGTCTTAACCCCTGCACCCAACATCTGCCCCATTAGAGCTTGAGAATGATTTTATATATAAATTTACTAGATTTATATTTAAGTGTTTTACCCTTATAATAAGCAACCTTTGGTTACATTAATTGATGTCATTAACCAGGTATGATTCTAGCACAGACCATGGTGTTGTGCTAATTAGATGACAGTGCGTGATTTCACTATTGAACTGTAAAATACTCCACCTGCCCAAAGAAGGATAACCCTGGTCTGAAATAAGCATCCACTTTCACAAATGAGAGTTTAGTTATGGTTGTTGTGATTTTGCTGGACCCTGTTCCAGTTAATTTCACTCCTGAAAATGAGGAAGAAAAAGACATTTTTTGAGGAGTAATGAAACTGAACTTCTCATGCAATTATAATTCATAATTTAGTCAAGGAAATAAATTGCCATCCATTGTTGTTTTCTCCCACACCTATGTGCTACACAAACCTGTTCCATCTTCCTGGATATTGGCCTCAACTTGAAGTTTCATTTCATACTCTTGCCTCTTCAGCTGAAAGACTTTGGTTTTCACTTGCCAAGAGAAGCAGCCATCACTGTTTAGCTAAGAGGGGAGAAAATGAAATACAAAAACATATCACACATCATCTTGGAAAGATAAGTGATCAATTAATCTGGTGGAATTTTTAGGGGGGGGGGACAAAGTATCTAGGCATTTCCTATGATGAGCATGAGGACACAGTATCCTCCAGGAACTATTTTTTAACATTTCTGAATAATATTTCATATCTGAAGAGTTTTCAAAAAGTTCATGGAAACTGCATATTGTGAAAAATTATGAATGAATTTCACCTTTTTTTAACCAAAATAAACATGCTTTAATTCCATTTCCACTACTTTTTGAAATATCCTTATATAATTGACAGGCATATTCCTCTGTGTCTGAAATGCCTTAAACTTTTGAGGAGCCTTACAGCAGCAGGAAGCTAACTCTTCACCAGAGTGGCTGCTCCTTCCTTAGTATGCAGCTGTGCCTGGAAACTGCACACTTGGGGACTCTGTGTCCCATCTCCCTGGCATATCGATGTAGCCATGTGACAAGTTCTTGCTCACAGAGAGCAGAAGTGATAGCCTTCTCAGTTACGGTGATTAACACTACGTGTATTTTTTCATCATATTGCAACTCACTACCTGTCTACAAGGTCTTTATTGTTAGTCCCTAGGAGGAAGAGTTTTCAACCTACCTGGTGACTGAATTTCTCACAGAATGCCTGGGACTCTTCATGATAGCAGTTGGTGGGGTTACTATACTTCCTGCAGATTTTCATAGTCACATGTCCTGGGACAGCCTTCCCATAGGTGTATCTATCATGAAAACAGTGCCAAATGAACCCTGAGCATCCCCATTTTTTTACCAATTGCTATTTGCCCTTTAGCTATGGCGATTCACCATCTATACCTCCCTCTGTTCTCTGCAGAACTCACAAATCAAGGACAAATGGATTCCACAATGTCTCTTCTCTGAGAAATCCCTAGTGCAATATGCTGAAATTTACTGCATTCTTCTTTTATCATGTTTTTTTCTCTTGAAATTTCTCTTTTTGTCCTTAAAAAGTTTTTTAAAAATGTTTTTATTACAAAAGCTAAATCTGTTCTTAAGAGGAAAAAACAATACCAACAAAAGCAAAATAAAACAAAGAAAGAGAAAAAAAATGAACATCCTGTCATGCCTGGGATTACAAATGATTGATATCATTGATATCATGGTATCTCTCTTCCATTATCCTCTCCTGTGTATGACTCTCTCTATACACACACACACACACATACATACATATATACAAATATATTTATAAATATATAAGTCATGGATGATTGCTATGTTTTCAGGATGCTTGTTTCTTGTCCTATTTGAAATGTCCTTTATATCTCTATTTTCAAGAATATTGGCTCACCAGTTATGAGAGGCCAGAACCTTAGTAGCGACTACTCTGAGACAGCATTGGGACAGAGGCCAAGCTGAGTAGTAGGGCCATTACATGTATGTCTTTAGGTAGGACTGGTGTCTTCATTTTGCCTGTACTTTCTCCTACTGCTACTGCTAGACTACCAGTGATAGGAGCATGAGATCTTGGAAGTATGAATTTTCAAGGTTGGAAGGAACCATAGAGAGAGACCATGTTCAGTCTCCTTAATAAATATGGCCATGCAGAGAGGTCTGTGGCATGCCATAGGTAGACTGATGAGTTAAATGAGATTTTGGTTGTATGCCTATCTGCAAATTCTGAACTCAAGATACTTCTCCACTATGTATGCAAGGTCAGGTCAATGGCCTTTGATGACCACGTTTCCTATATAACCATGTGTTGATCATTTTCCTAATATATATTTTTGGTTCTTTCTGGCTAACAGAAAGCTACTACCCTTCAACCTTATCCTTTTTTTTTTTTTTTTTTTGGTGTGTGTGCACAGCTTTGAGACTTTCAGAATTAATCCTACCAGCAAAGATGCTCTAGAAACAGTTCTCCACCCCATGACAGTTATAGTAATACTAATAAGAACATGAAAGGAAAAAGGAAAAAATAAAAAGCAACAGGACTTTTTGAGATGGAAGCACACCCAAAGTACTTAAAAGTATTTGTGTTGTCACTACTGCTAGAGAAAATAGCCAAAATGTCACAAATGGTGAGTTCCTGTCCTCTCTGCCTGTCCAAAAAAAATTAATTAATTTATTTATTTATTTAAAAAAAAAGAAAATGAACTCACATGCCACACACTGAAACATTCACCTCTTCTTCCAGGAAAGTGATTATCTTTGGCATTGTCACTTTCACTTCAAACTTGGGAAGCACTGTTGATTGGTGATAAAGGCAGGTGGTGATTAGTTTTCAGTTGGGGGGTATTCGTATTTTCAGATTCTCTGTGACAATACCCTAATGATATTTCAAGACTTTGAAAAGGCAGCCCTAGTCTCCAATATATTCATGTCCACCTTACTCTTGAATGGAGAGTTTGGGGGTGGTGGTGGAATATTGTGTAGCTAGTTAAATTTTGTCTTCTGATTCCTGTATCCCATATTGGAGCACTGGCTCAAGACCTGGTTACACATTTCCAATCCAGATCCCTGCTCATATGCCTGTGAAGCAACAGATGATGGCCAAAGTACTCAAGTCCCTACAACCCACATGGGAGACCCAAATAGAGTTTCAGTCCTCTGGCTTTGGCCTGGCACAACCCTGGCTACTATAATCATTTGGAGAGTGAACCAGTAAATAGATGATATCTCTCCTTATCTTGTGCCACTCCACCTTTCAAATAATGAATAAATACATATATTTTTTTAAATGGAGACTTTGGTGGAGGGACTATGACAGGTCACTGTACACTTGATGAGTTATGGAAGATTCACCAAAATAAGGATATTTTATATGTTTCAAAATACTAAATACAGCTGCAAAAATAGCCAAGTTATATGAAATCCTATTAATAAGTCACCAATATATTGGACTTAGATGAAATTAGTTATCTTCTAAGCCCAGTCTCATCCATGGGAAATGGAAGGACTTCACATGAGCTCAAATTCTAGACCCATGAAGTTTAAAAATTCAGTTATTTTCCGTGGCCCATACCAAATTCCTCCACAGTGAAGGAGTGATCTCTCCTTATGCCTGATGTCTTCTGTACCACAATCCTGTAGGAGCCCAGAAAGGGCTCTGATGAGAGAGCAAAGGACAGTTGCTTGAGGCCGCTGGTTAACTTGATATTCTGCCATTGTGCAATGCGATTAAGTTTGGGATCCTATGGATAAATAAATTATAATTTACATGAATGCCTAGAACATTGGAGACAGTAAGAAAAAAAAATCTGTGGAGACTCCACTGTTACCTAAAAGAGAACAAATGGAGTGGTGTTTACGGCTGAGGACAGGGATGAATTATAACCACCCAGCCCTATGTGAGTTTGAAGACTCACCCGTTACTGACAGGTTTCTGACATATTATAAAAACCTCTCAAATAAGGACATTTTCCCAAAACTTATTGCTTTCTTTCTAATTATGGAATGTTTTACATGCTTACCTGAATGTATAGTAGTGGAATCTGTAAGACAGAAAAAGAAAGAAGCTTATAAATATTATCAAATATCTCCAATTCTCATTTATAAATAAACCAGATTTGTATAGATTAATTCTCTTTAGAGAAAAACACCTGAAGATCTCAGGTGAAATTTTACAGTATTATTAATCCATTTTAAGTAATCACTAAACAATGTTAAGAACTTAATAGGCCATCAGTAACAAGTATAGATGTTCACGGCCATTCATTAGAAATAGGACTGCTAACATTACTTAAGTACTTATAGCATCTCCGTGAAGAACATTGTTTTGCAATGAAATTTTACAAATTGAGATATAAACATGTATAGAACTGCAAGTAATCATGTTCAGACCCTGATATTAAGATGAATCATATAATTTTTAGATAATTCTAAGAATGAGAATAATTCCCTTCCTAAAAATGCTTATTCATTTTTAAAACCTAGTATTTAGCAACTGTGTATTTATGTGCTGTGTATCATTCTGAAGCTGAGACCACAAATATAGCAACACACAAGAGAACAATGTGTAACAGGGATGAACAGATAAGAAAAAGAAACTTTATATACATTATATTAATATCTATCAGCTTTTCATCCATCCATCATATAGCTCAAGTGGTGGTAAGCACAAGAAGAAAAATGAAGCAGGGTTAAGCTGACATAGTGATGAATGTGATGTTTGATTTTAGATAGAAGAGTAAAAGTTGAAGCTGGGAGTATAGTTTTAAGGTTATCACAATGATCTTGTAAATAAGAGATTATATTGGCCAGGACCAGGTTGTAGCAGTTCAGGTGGAAAGAAGTTTCCTGGTGAAGAAAGTTCTTTTGCTATGCAATTTTGCAGATAGAGAAATGCACATGTATGGCTATATGTTAAACAATGTGATTTTGTAGACGAAATTAAAGTGAGAGAAAGAGAGAAGTAAGGATTATGCCATAATCTTTTGCTTTAGAAACCATAAGAGTAGAATTGCCATTTTTTTAGATAATGTGGTTAAGAAGTATATTTGTAAGAGGAAAAGGAATAATTTGGTTTGATATTTACATTATAAGATAATTTAACAAGTTATTTGTTACCACAGATATCAAGGATTAGTCTTGAACAAATTGATTGCTGTCATCTTCTGTTGTAGCAGAGATTTTAGAAGTGTGTTTAGGGAAGTTATTTGAATAGAGGTTCTTTCATTTTTTAGCAGTGTCTGTTATTTAATATATCTTTCTAATTTTCCTAATTGAGACTAATTAAAGAGTAAATTTAATGTTATGATAACTGACCAACAGCAATACAAATAGACCTGGGATACTGTTTTAAATGAGGATCTTGTGCTATTGTCATGTCAACAGTTACTGTTGGTGATGCAGTGCTCTTATTCTCCCTGCTCCTTCCCTAAATACCAAAACAGGTTCAGGTTCCCAGTGTGTCTATAAAGATGATAGTGATTTTACGTTAATAATAGGAGACTCACCAACTCATTCTGTGGGCGAAAATTTTCATCCAATGATACAACACGAAATTTCACTGAAACAGAAATATTTTTATGAGCACCTAAAACCCTTTCTCCTAGGACTATACACTGGTGAGACAAACGATTGAGAAACAAGGATTACATGGACTCTGGGGACTACAGAAGGGAGAATATGTCTTTCCTTTTCAATGTCATGACTGTAGGCCTCTTTTTACCTGTCTGCCCTGGTTTGTAGATGGGTTTGTCTGTCTGTACAAAGACCAGGTTGTTTTTGGGTCTAATCAACACTGTGGTCCGTCTCCGGAATTCTTGGGTTGCTCCTTTTACTTGGACAGTGAGGAACATTACTTCCTCAATGGATGAAGACACAGGGACCTGAAATTCAGAAGCAGTCCTGAGAACTCATTCAATCTCTCAAGTCTCCTCCCCCATTCCCAGTTCCACTTCTCCCTTGGAGACTTTACCCTCTGTATATATTTTCACTCCTTCATTCTAATCTAGAAAAGCTGGCATGGACAGGAAATACTTCTGCAATTTTACATATGAGAAAACGAAACACAAGGTAGGGGGCAATCAATCAGTAAGGCAGGCTGGAAGTGAGAGTCATATCTTAGGGTTCCAATGATAGAGTCTTGATTCAATTATACACTGAGATTGACAAGGTGATGTTATATGCTTAAAGGACATAGAAAAACACGTCCTGAGGTTATAAAGAGAAGCTCACCATATTTTACTAGCATTATGTTGTGCATATCTCACATATGGATAACTCTGAAGAGACATTAAAAATTGGCTCAGGCTGATTTCTCCAATTTTTGTTCTTCAAATGGGGAGTGATGTGTTCCTGTTAGTCTGCCATGGGTGGCTCATGTTGAGCATTGACCTAGTTTGTTTTATTAAGATTTTTTTCCACTTCAGTTTTAAGGAGAAGTCACGTTTTCCCTTGATCTGTCATATACTTTTTTTTTCTGGCTAGTAGGATTTTACTTTGAATATTAAAATAATTTTTATATTCCTATAAATATTTGTCTTCCACCGTAGGAAATTTTTGTATGGCTTCTCTTTTTTTTTCTTTTTCTTTTTTTTTTTTTTTGACAGGCAGAGTTAGACAGTGAGAGAGAGACAGAGAGAAAGGTCTTCCTTCCGTTGGTTCACCCCCTAAATGGCTGCTATGGCTGGCGCTGCGCCGATCCGAAGCCAGGAGCCAGGTGCTTCCTCCTGGTCTCCCACATGGGTGCAGGGACCCAAGTACTTTGGCCATCCTCCACTGCACTCCCGGGCCACAGCAGAGAGCTAGACTGGAAGAGGAGTAACTAGGACAGAATCTGCACCCCAACAGGGACTAGAACCCAGAGTGTCAGCCCCACAGGTGGAGGATTAACCAAATGAGCCGTGGCACTGGCCTTTGTATGGCTTCTTAATTTCTACACCTACCTGATATATTTTAATGACTATCTGAAGTTCTTAACAGGCCTCAAAGTTTTTTGGTTCACTCCCCATGTCCATCATGGCCCAAGTAAGGAGCCAGGAACTCAGTCCAGGTCTCCCACATGGATGGCAGGAATCCAACTACCTGAGCCAAGACTGCTGCCTCCCAGAGTCTGAACTGGTGGGGACTGAGAGTCAGGACGTGGAGGCAGAGATCACACCCAGGCACTCTGGTGTAGGATGCAGGTATCCCAACAAGTCTGTAACCACTAAGCCAAATGCCTGCTCCCACAGTCTCATGTTGACTGAGTACTGGATCCCTGGACCCCGAGTTAGTGAACAGGTCTGTTAAGCCAAACAACCACACTCACAGTGAAGGAGATGCAGTGGAATAAATCCTTCTCCACCACCAGGTCAGTGAAGAGGCTCCTGTTTTCCCTGAGAGCCTCCAAAGAAGCAGTTACAGTCACTGTCTCATTCAGCTGGCTCAGAAGTAGGCAGCCCTTCACAGGTGTCCCAGTGTGGATCAGGGAGGGGACCAGCACCATGTAGTTTCTGAGAATGGGAGAGTCCAGTGAAAGGATGAAGGAAAAGAGACTTTACTATCAACAGCACTATTTTCCATCACAATTATTGTTATCCTAACAATTTTAATTTATTTAATTTTTATGTATTTATTTGAGAGGGAAGGAGAAGATACACACACACACACACACACACACACACGGGGAAAAAGAGAGAGAAAGAGAGAGATTGCTCCCATCCGCTGGTTACTCCCAAAATGCTAACAGGAAATCTGGGAGCTGGGAACTCAATCCAGGTCTCCCACACTGGTGGCAGGAACCCAATTACTTAAGCCATCACCACTGCCTCCAAGCCAGGAACTGAAATCAGGTACTCCCACAGGAACACGGACATCTTAATTAGCACGTTAACCACTAGGTCAAATGCACCCCACCCCCAAACTCTGCTTTCCAGTGGCATGCATTAGAATTATTTCCCTTTTGCATCATATGCCATGGCAGTGAGCTTAAACATGTAAGCATACCTCACTTTAAGGAATCTTTAAGGTATGTGAACATCTGGATTCAAATAAAATACCAGTTACATTTGTGATGCAAATCTATTTTACCTTAGGATGTCTGTAAAAATAAAAGTATTTCTCAGGTATGTGAACATCACAAAAACCAATCAAACAACAAAATATTTTTTTCATTAAAAAAAGTACATTTAGTTGTCTCTCAGAATCTGTAGGGGATTGGTTCTAAGAGCCCCTACCAATACTAAAATCTGCAAATGCTCAATTCTTTATACAAAATGCTGAACTATTTGCATATAACCCATACATTTTCTCTCATGTACTTGAAATAATCTCTAGATTATTATAATACCTAATTAAGCTATAAATACTCTATAAATGGTTGTTATGCCATAATGTTTAGAGAAAGAGACAAGATAAAAGTCTTTACATGTTCAGAATCCTTAGAAAATATTTTTGATCCACAGATGATTGACCCTGCAGATGCCACAATATCAGATACACAGACATCTTTGAGATACAGGTTAGTGTAGGAATCCTTGTTGTGGGAAGAACTAACTGTTATTGTACCAATCGCTGTGTTCAACATCCCTGTGGAAACTGTATGACAACAATTTGCATCTATTTTATGGATCTGGAATCTGAGAGTCAAAGTGAGTCACTGAAGTTTCAATTATGATAAAAAACTGGTAGCATTAGTGTATAACCTTGGGTGTCTGCATTTTAAATATGTGCCTTTCAACTCAAGCTCAATAATTCAAAGATGCCTCTCTAGTGATTGAATTAGGATCTTGGTAACTCATAAGCAGGACACAAACTTTCTCAGTGCCCTGATAAATAATTTAAGAGTGACCATGTAGTTTTCAAACATTTTTGCTAACAGAATTCCTAAAATGAATTTTAGAGACCTTTTACTGCTTACTTATTTTCAAGTAAACAGCTATTTTACATCATTTTTTATGTTCCAAGTTAAACATATTACTTTTGCAAATTTCCCATGGAATCTTAAATATAATAGTTATAAGATACTCAATACCATCTTCTTAAATAATACATTAAAAAGTTCTTTTTGCAATGGTCAGAAATTTAACAACTTTCCCATTTTTTGTCCTTGAGCTTGAATTTCCATGCCATTTATCACAAAGAAACTTATCCTACTATTTCAATGCTTTGAAATATTTTATTGAGCACTCTTCTTGATTAACAAGTATGTGAGTACATATATATGTAAATACTTGCACTACTTACATACATGTAAGTAATATGACATGTTACTTCTTCATTTTAAAAATAATGTGGTAATAAATTTGTAAACATTAACTATTCTCTGATTGAGTTATTTTCAAAAGTACTGGGTTATAACTACAAACAAAATAAATATATTACAAATTATGATTCATACATGTTTAATATAAATTGTAAACATTCTTGAAGCTTATATTTATTTTTTGAAAAAGATTTATTTATTTATTTGAAAGAGTTACACAGAAAGAGGAGAGGCAGAGAGAGAGAGAGAGAGAATGAGAAAGAGAGAGGTCTTCCATCTGCTTGTTCACGCCCTAGTTGGCCACAGCATCCAGAACTGCGCTGATCTGAAACCAGGAGCCAGGAGTTACTTCTAGGTCTCCCAGGTGGGTGCAGGGACCCAAAGGCTTGAGCCACCTTTTACTGCTTTCCCAGGCCATAGCAGAGAGCTGGATCGGAAGTAGAGCAGCTGGGACTTGAACTGGCGCCCATATGGGATGCCAGTACTGCAGGCAGCAGCTTTACCCACTACCCCACAACTTCTCCCTGAAGCTTTTCTTTAAAGAGAATGATTAGCTGTTTGTTCCCCCAATGAGTGTGTGTATGCATAGGTAGATATTCCTTAATGCATGAATTAACCGAGGTATAGCGTTCATTATGTTATTATTTTTGTTTTGTGTGCTGACAAGTCCTAAGAAGTACCATTCACATAAAAATAACAAATTGGCAAGTAAAACAGTATCACTGTCACCACTTTTTGCAACTCCTTCTGCATTCTAAATCACCCAATATACATGTATCAAAAATTGCTTATAGTGGCCAGCGCTGTGGTTAATCCTCTTCCTGCGGTGCTGGCATCCCATGTGGGCAGCGGTTCTAGTCGTGGCTGCTCCTCTTCCGATCCAGCTCTCTGATGTGGCTTGGGAAAGCAGTAGAGGATGGCCCAAGTCCTTTGGCCCTTGCACCTGTGTGGGAGACTGGGAAGAAGCACCTGGCTCCTGGGTTCGGATGGGCGCAGCTCCAGCCGTTGTGGTCATTTGGGGAGTGAACCAACAGAAGGAAGACCTTTTTCTCTGTCTCTCCCTCTGTCTGTAACTCTACCTCTCAAACTCTCAAATAAATAAATGAAATCTTTAAGAAATTGCTTATAATCAGCTATCTGATGGAATTTCTTTTAGTTCCTCCCTACGTTTTGTTCAAAGAATTCATCACCACCTGATCTGGAAAAGTTTTTCTATGATGTTATCAGAATCCTTTGCTTTCTTAATGTCAACACCAGTATTTCAAACTAGTCCTTTAGTTGGCTTCATAGAGATTTATATTCTAGGGCAATGCTCCATGGTTAAGATCTAGGTGAGGGAGACATTTGTCTTTATTTTATAAAAAAAGAAAGAAAAAAAGAAAGAAAGAAAATGACAAGAAATTAAGAGAGAGGAGATAAGTAAATATAAATAGCATTGTCTCAAGCAGGTCAATAGCAACATCAGGATTAGGAAATAGAATCCTTTGAACATTATCAATTTCTAATGCCTTTTAGAAAGACTGCGTATCATCTGGAAATACAGAGATGCAGAGATCCAGGAAAAAAATGACTTTGTGAAGAATCAAAGAAGCAGATTTACAAAATCTCATGGTGGAAAGGAACCTTAGAGATGGAAAGGCAAATGGATGAAATAAAAGAGACATCTGGAATACAGGCTCGGACTCTGTAAGTTCATGCTTCATGCTCTGTGTGGAACTCACGGTTTTCCAGAGGCGGAGGCACCTGCAGGCAGGAGGACCAGGAGGAGGAGAACAAGACTTGGGTGAAGGAGGTTATTTTTCCCCATGCTGCAGGGAGAAAGGGCCAGAAGAGACCGGACCAGACTGTCCCTCACTCCCTACAGTTGATCTGACCAAAGTGCTCCCAGCTTTTTGTTGCTCTGTGTGCAAACAGGAAGTTCCACCCACACAAAGTCCCTAAACAAATTTGAGACAAATTTTCTGAAAGGTTCATTGATGGCCTAGTTACAGTCAATGTTAATTCCTGGCAGGCTAAGTCGAATTTATTGGGGGATAAAATTGACATTCCTGTTAGTGTTTACTTTCTCTGAGCTTTCCTGTAAAGCAGCTAATCAGCTTTTCAACCTCTTCTCTCACATTCCTCACCACCCCTCACAGTGCCTTTTACGGTTTTTCTCCTATCTCCAGTGTGAAAAATTGGCCGGGAGGCTACGTGTTAAGCAGTACTGGGCAGACTCAAAGAGTTACTTCATTGTAAATCAGCAGGGCTGAAAATTTTCCATTGCATGTGTCTACCTTAAATGTTGGAGCTGTAGCAGAATTCACTGATAATCCACAGAAATAACATTGCTGGTAGGTTTTGGCTTTTAAGAATATTACTGGATTGAAGATGAAGAGCTATGCCCTGAAAGAATAACCACAAGTAATTTCCTGTTTTAATAAAGTGAAGGAGGAAAGAGGAAGCAACAGGCCTCAAAAACAAGCTTTGGGGGCCGGTGCCGTGGCGCAATAGGTTAATTGCGGCGCCAGCATCCCATATGGGCGCCGGTTCCAGTCCCAGTTGTTTCTCTTCCAGTCCAGCTCTCTGCTGTGGCCCGGGAAAGCAGTGGAGGATGGCCCAAGTGCTTCGGCCCCTGCACCCACATGGGAGACCCGGAGGAAGCTCCTGGCTCTTGGCTTCGGATCAGCACAGCTCTACCTGTTGCAGCCTTTTGGGAATTGAACCAATGGAAGGAAGACCTTTCTCTGACTCTCTCTCTCATACTGTCTGTAACTTTGCCTGTCGAATAAATAAATAAAAACTTTAAAAAACAAGCTTTGACCTACTGTGACTAACAAAGGTTCCAATGTCTTTAACATCTACAATTCAAACAGATTTCCATGATCCTCCTCTCCCATATTTAATTCACATAAACAATTTCATTATTCATTCACCCACCCATGCATTCGCACAGCTATTCAGTTGTTGAAAAGTATTTATTGATCCTATTAGGGCTAGAACCCTATTAGGGTTCTGTTGGGTGAACCAACAGAAAAGGAAGACCTTTCTCTCTGTCTCTCTCTCTCTCTCACTAACTCTGCCTGTCAAAGAAATAACATAAAAAAATAAGTAGAAACAGATTAGCACTAAGAGGTCTTACATACTTGTGAGGGTGAACACAGAGCAAAAAAAATCAAACAACAAAAACAGAGTAGCCAAATATTATCAGCAAGGGAGTTTGGTACTCTGAGAGTTGGTAAGAGGCAAAACAGACTTGGGGGCTTGGAGAGGAAATTTGGGGAAAGAAAAATGTCAGACTCTGAAGCATGTATTTGGTGTGGAGGAAATAAATGCCTGTACACTTTGAAGAGTGGGCAAGAAACTGACTTGAAGTCAGAAAGGAGCTTATTGGCAATGTTATGTTACTAAAATTTGGCATAGTGACTGGCGGGAAGAAATCCAGGAAGTAGGGCACCCACTAGCTGGGAATCAGTGCAACAAAGGCAGAAGCTGAGGGTATTCAGATAAGGATTGGAAAGAGCTTGCAGATTTATTTCATATTTGAAAGGTAAAATTACAGTATGCAATGAATGCATTAGTGCAATGGATAGAGGAAATATGACTTTCAGTTTTTCTGATTGGTCATCATGTGAATTTTCTTGCCTTTATCTGAGTGAGGGAAGCTGGAAACAGATTGGTGGGAGAAGAAGGAATGACAGAAAGACTGAAGAATGAGAAGATAAAAGCATGGTAGGGGGATGTGCTTGTGTGATATTCAAGTATTAATATTCATATGAATTTTAAATTTGAATCCAGATCTAAGAGAAATGTAATCTAATAGAAATATAATTGACCTTTTATGCAATTTTCTAATAGACACATTAAAAATAAAGAGAAATAGCTTAAATTAATTTTAATAACTTATTTAATCAATTATATACTAAATATTATTTTAACAGTCAATCTAAAAATTGACAATTAGATACTTTACTGTTTCTTTTTTCATATTTAGTCTTTACAGTCTGGTGTGGATTTTATAGTCACAGCAGAGATGAATTTAGACTAATCACATCTCAAATGTTCAATAGTCCCACATAGCTAGTGGTTACCAGATTGGACTTAACAGGCTTCAAACAATGCTTTTCAAATCATGGTGGGTTATGATATCATGGTCATGATCAGGATTTTAAAAATCATATAGAATATCATACAATATATCAGAATAAGCAAAATTTTGTGAAACATTTGTTTCTCATATGGCTGCAGCAAATGCCGTGGGCTGTTTCTTATTACCACTGCTCCAATTCTTTCTTTAATAATAGAACTCCTGAGTTTTCATGGGGCACAAACTGAATTATTTATTACTTTATTTTCTAACCTTTTCCTTCAAATCTGTGTGAGCTAAATGACAAAGTTCTGGTGATTGGGTTGTGAATGGAAGTGATTTATACAATTCTCAGTTCATGCCTTAAAAAGGAAGGGTAAGGTTCTGTGCTTCCCCTTTCTGCCTGACCCTCACTGGAACATGAGCCTGATCACAGTAGTCAGAGGTTCTGTTGTAGACCAACAGATGGAAGCCAGGTGTCAAGGAGGCAGAACTATGGGTCAAATACTGCCTGGGTCCTCGAGTCATCCAAAGGCTGCTCTAGCCTGGACTTTGATGCGAGATAGAAATATTTTATCTTTATTAAGCCTTTGTGTTTTGAGGTGCATTTGTTATAGAAGTAAATCATGTATCTTAACATTCTATTTCTTTATTACTATTTCTACCTCAATAATCTCTACCCTTAACTATGCATGACCTAGCTCACAATGTAAAAGTGACGTTGTAAAGATGTTATGACAGTGGTATGTTGTGGGCTGCCTACTAAAAGTGTACAGAATTTCTTATTGTAGAGTTCAAACAGTTTCAATGTCAAAAGATTACTGAGAACTTGCCTACTTACACAGACTAAAGATTTATTGCTCTACTGAGATATCCAAGGCAATGGATGGCAATACCTAGATAGGATATATTGTGGAAAAGAGCCCAAGATAGAGTCACGAGTGGAGTAAGAAGGACCAACTAGAGAGGGAGAATGCAGTCAGGAGAGTGTGGCTCTCTTAATTTCAATAAAAGGATCACCTTATTTAATTAACTGATGGAGAGAGGGAGAAAGAGAGAGGAGGGAGGGAGAGCAATCCACTAGTTCACTCTCCAAATGGCCACATCAGCTAAGGGCATGTCCAAGCTAGGAACTGGGAACGTAGTCCAGGTCTCCCAGGTAGGTAGAAGGACCCAACTACATGAGCTGCCTCCAGCGTGTGTATCAGCAGGAAGCTGGAATTGAGAGTGGAGCCAGAGCTCAAATCCAGACACCTTGATATATAATACAGGTGTCCCAGGTTGTGTCTTAACTGCTAGGCGAAATGCCCGCCTCAGAGGGACCATCTTAATGAGAGAGAATAGTTAGAAGATTTTTACCATGTCAAAATGATTACAAGCCTCAAACTTAATAGCATGCAAAATTAAATTATTACAAAAGATAGTCTGTTCTTTATAATGTATTGATTCAAAATATAATATTGACATTTTTAAAAGCTGGAAATTATTAAACACTTTTTGTAAGATTTATTACTTAAAATAAAAAGGATTTATGTTAACAGCATTCATTTGATCTCTCATCATAAATTATAAAGATAATCTAATAAGGTTGTTATTGCCAGATTCTTGGCTATTCATGTCAAATGCCTCTGAAATTAAATAATAGATGGAAAATTTTTCTGCTGGATTTAGGGACAAGAACACTGGGATCCAACTATGTCTTTGCTGTACAGAAGCTTGCCTGAAGCTTAAGGAATGAGGGGCATGTGAAGAACTGTAGCTAGTTTTGCTTTTTGAAGGAGAGAAAAAATGCTAAGGTGACATCCAACAGAGATGCCAGGGTGAGAAGAATGTTTCTTTAAGAGGAGAGACTGGAGTGAGTTTAAGTGAAATGTTGCTTCTATAAATCCTGAGTCTGAGGAACAAATGAAAAGGGAGAGTTGCAACTTCCATAGGGTGGAAAAGATCACCCCAGTGGGAAGACTCTGATGTACACAGGGATTCAAAGAATTGGCATTGGGTGTATGTTACTGAGAGGCCGACAGTCCATATGCGAGTGCCTGAGTCCCAACTCTACTCTCAGTTCAGCTTCCTGCTAATGCACACCCCAGGAGGCATCAGGTAATGGCTCAAGTGCTTGGGTTCCTGCTACCCACATAAGAGACCTGAATAGCATTCTTGACTCCGGGTTTCAACCTGGCTCAGTCCTGCTACTGGGTCTCTCTGCATTTCAAATAAACAAAACTATGCAATTTAACTTAACAAAATATTCCCAGAATTTTTTAAAAAGATTTATTTATTTATTTGAAAGGCATAATTACAGAGAGGCAGAGGGAGAGGGAGAGGGAGAGGGAGAGGGAGAGGGAGAGGGAGAGAGGGAGAGGGTGAGAGGGAGAGAGAGGGAGAGAGAGGGAGAGGAAGGGAGAGGGAGGGAGAGGGAAAGGAAGGGAGAGGGAGGGAGAGGGGAAGGGAGAGGGAGGGAGAGGGAAAGGGAGAGGGAGAGGGAGAGGGAGAGGGAGAGGGAGAGGGAGAGGGAGAGGGAGAGGGAGAGGGAGAGGGAGAGGGAGAGAGAGAGATTGAGGTTTTCCAGCTGCTGGTTCACTCCCCAAATGGCTGCAATGGCCAGAGCTGAGCCAGTCTGAAGACAGGAACCAGGAGCTTCTTCTGGGTCTTCCACACAGGTGAAGGGGCCCAAGCACTTGGGCCATCCTCTGCTGCTTTCCCAGGCCATAACAGAAAGCTGGATTGGAAGCAGGGCAGCTGGGACTTGAACCAGCACTCATATGGGATGCCAGCACTGCAGGCTGCAGCTTTACCCGCTTTGCCACCCTGCCAGCCCCCACA